ATTCATGAGAACAACCAACCTTTTTTTTGAGACAAATTTTTAGCAATAAAATCTAAAAAACCAATCGAGCATTAGATTTTCCAAATTTATCAATTTCAGCATCAATATTTGCATCTTAATCTCGATAAATATACATCATAGCTAATCCATGAAGTCTTATTTTCAACATGGTCGAACGTAAATAAGTCTTCAGTAATTTGAGGACACAGAATGTTTGTTCTGTAGTTACTGTTATCATTGGTAGAATTGTACAGATTTTCAATAAAACTTTCATGTTTGGATAAAACACTTCAGGACAAGCAGCATAGGCATCAATTATTGTATCTGGCACAAATATTTGTTCTATATGTTTCATTTTGATTGTAGTTATATTGCTAGTTAAAGAAAGTTACAATGTAGTGAAACTATTTTCCGTAACAGTTTCTGTCCATCATTTTTTTCCATAACGTAAATTCAGATTTGATTTGAGAAGTTGAATCAAGTAAAAATTTTTGATAAATTTCTATTTCTAGAGTTAAATCATTATAATTTTTATCAGCAATATATTGTGGAAACAATTATATATTTTTTGTCATATTGTAATTGTATTATTCGTTTATCGTTTCTCTTTTCTCTTTAATTGTAAATTTGTGCATATATTGTTTATTGTGCCTTCCTATAGACATTTTCTGATGATGACAATTGATAATTGTCGAGAGTTCGAAATCAAAAATAATAATTTTCGTTGAAAATTTACAATGCTTTTTCTTACAGCACTTTACTCAATAACAAATCATATTTTTTCAAAGATATCCAAATATTACATTAAAGAAGGCAGTCCTAAAAATTTAATTGCTGTGGCATATGCCTTACGTATTTCGATCAACATGTATCGGAGAAATTAGATCTTTCTAAGAAAGTATTCAAAACCACAGGTCAAACAATTAGACAATTCTTTTGTAATTGAGATTTTATTTTGTTTTTATTTTGAGCATTGTAAATTTTTGTTTGTTATGGCTTAACCTTGAAGTATCTTTGAATAAACCGTCGACTAATGGTACTTATGACTAATCCCGTTTTTGTACCTGTCGCTATTACTCACCCGAGAACTTTATTAAACATTTCAAATCGCATTTTAACGATCAAAGCTGGTATTTGGTTAATTTCTCTATTACAAGATATTATTTCTTGAGTTTAAATATTAGAAAAACATTTAATAAAATTTTACCATCACTTCTATTCTCAGGAAGTGGCGATCGCCGGATCGCTGAAATGGTGGATTCTCTACTGGTTATTTTATTATGTTGTTTGTCCTATCAATTTGATGAGTGTTATACAGTGAAATAAAACTATAAGTTGAAATTCATTGAATAGAAAGACTGCTTTTAGGGTGTGGATGTGGGTGTTTATGTACTCTTCACACATACATCCACATCCACACCCAAAGCCCTCACAATTAATTTGATTGAACTACCAGGTTTCACACTGCTAAGCTGATTGTGGTACCACGAGCACAACACTCAACACGGCAGGACGATTTTTCCCCGTGTAACTGAGCTTTTATCTTTCTGTTGAAGCGAAGGGCACAGAGTGCTTCCGAAGCACCGCGACCCATGCTCGCTTCTTTGTACACAGTGATGAACGAAGTAGAAATTGAAATGATGGTAATAATTTATAAAAAATTTTATCTTATGCTTTTTTTACTATTTTAAGATGGATGTATTCAAGTTTTGTCTTTTACGTTGTTTGCTAGTTTCACATGGGTGCGATTTTTTTTTGAATTTTCCATTTATATTCGAACTCGAATTAGGCTTCTACTCAATTAAATTGAGATTTTCTGATTCATTTGAGTCTCTGGTCTGTAATTATGCAGTTGGTCACACTACCAAGCACAGAAGGACTAGACTAAAACGTTTTTTTATTTAAATCGAATAAATGTATGTAGATGTTAATAGAAGAGTTATAAAGGAAATTAAGTCTATTTCTAAGTAGTTCTCTTTGTAATTATAAATTCGGCAACTATTATTCTTCTGTGAAAATATTCTTCGTGTACGCTATTGAAGGATTCTCTGTATACCGTTCAAATTTCACTTGGTTTTCATTCGATATTATAACCAATTGTTGTCCTTGTAACTCAATATTGGTTATACCATCGAGCAGGTCTAGTATTACCTCTTCCTTTCGTAGCAATTCGTCATCTCCACCCATCAATGTTGTCTGAATGCCTTCGTTTTTCCATTTATTCGTGGATGGATAATGGACAAGATTGCAACTTATATCGTTTACAATACCAGTGCAAAGACAGTAGGCATTACTATCGATTTCGCGTCGTTTATACAGACGAAAATGCTGATCAACACATTCACTGTGTTCTGGGTAGTCAATCAGTTTCCAGTGACCTTCCATGCCTTTGAACTGTTCCTGTCGTCGATCGAGCGATGTTGGAATTTCTTCTGATCGAACGATTGTAGCTTTACCGTTTCCATAGAAGCTGATGACTAGCTTAGGAACAGAGATTGAAAAACTAAACTAAAAATTCAATGAGAAGGTTATCAATAATTACCTGGAAACAAGGGTTTTGTAAACGGAGCTTGTACATGGAATGCCAGACCTAATGGTTGGCCGTTATGAAACAAATACATTTTCATTTCACTGTCAGTCAGATTAAGCAAAATGCCAATAGTGTCACCTTGTTTAATAGAACTACCAAATGTGCCAACCAACGCATAAATACCGTTAGTTAAGTTAGCTAAAAGTAGCGAGAACTTAATCAGTAATGTAAGTAGATATCTCTATGAACAGAGAGAGACATAAAACTGCTGTGAGCTTGAGACTTTTGGATCTGCACAAAGATCCACTAACTTACCATTATATTGCATCGCCTTCAAATCATAGCCCCCTTTGAAATCGTTCTGCGTGGTTAGACCAACACTTACAATTCCATATTCATCTAATTGTGAAAATTCAATTTGCCAATAATATAATCCCGATTTCTCAGCTGGCTCATTCCAAAGAACATGGATTGGACTGCCATAATCACCTTCTTTGCAACTTGTAACGCTGTTACCTTGTATGTTAATGGCTGAAGATGCATTGTCACTTTCTTCGATTATCCACGACATGACTTTTATCTTAAAGAGTGTTGTAGGTTTTAACTATCTAAAACTGAATTTCAGAACGATGTGGAAAAGTGCAAAATACCTGCTCTATGAAACAGTTCTTTATAGGTTTAGTTTCTACTCACAAAAAAAAGTATACCTCTCAACTGAAAAATATGTTTTCATTCATACATTTTCTTATCTCGATTAATCACACAGTAATTGACAAATGATTTCTTTTTATATACGAAAAAAAATAGATGAAATATGAAAATCGTACTGATTGATATGATATAATGAGGCCTTGAAGCACATTTTTTTATTTTGAAATTAATTGACAGTGATAAATGAATGAATAAATGAATAGAGTGAAGCATCGCAATTTTCTATTAAATACATGTTGTTTTGTAAGGCAGAAAATATCAAGAAGACGCTAGCATCTGATCGAGTGCTTGTCACTGATTCAGAACCATGAAACATAAAATGCGAAAGGTCACTGAATGAACTTTTTTCAATGTAAGAAAACATCAAATTTTGTTTGGAAATATTGTTCTGTTCAAGCGCTAAAAACAAACGAAAGCTTGATTAAAAATACACTCTCCGATGTAAGCCGAATTCATGTGCCGATGACATTTATTTTCAATTCATAGAATGTCCACCAAAGAGATATGAATCATATTTTCTTTCTGTCAAATTATTAGATTTATTTTGCTCTTATACATTACATCTACTGTATAACCAACAATGGGAACATGAAACGCAATTCTTATTAATTTCCAATTCTTTTTCATAGTATACAGCACAGAAAAGAAAGGAACAGAATAGAACAAGACGCTAAAAGAAATAGTAATTTATTATACACGAGAATCGAAAATTAACTACAGTGATTCATGTTTTTGTTTTAGTTGAGTAATATTTTCGTATGTAACTTCATCCAACTAGATTATATTATGAAAACATCATCTAATTCGATGCCATTCAACCTTGTCTCACTATATAAAACAAAAATCAACAATATAAAACTTTTTGCTGATGGTTTTTTTTTTCGTACTTGTCTTCAGGCAATTGATATTTTCTCTTTTCATGGCTACTGATTTAATAGTAAATATCTTCACATTTATTATTTTCGAAATTCCAATTTGATACTGTTGTTTTTCTTTCAATCCTCATGTCTCTAAAACATTTTATGTGAAGATTTAAACAATTTGTAATCCGTTGTTATTGTCTACCATACGCATTAGTATTTTTTGGACGATCCATATCAATGAAGCTAATTCGACATAAAATCAAAGTGCTTTCATCAAATGAATTTCATTACCATTTTGATCATTCAAAGTTAATCCTCATCTTGATTTAACCGAATACCGAGTGAAGGGTGTGGGATGCGGATGTGAAAGAAGAGAAAAACAACATTCATCCACACCCACACCCAAAATAGATAAAATTTTAAGCAAGCAAATTTCGACCTTGCGAAAACGATATTTTTTTGGTACATGAGGACTTCATTTTTCCTTATTTCATCTTTTATTATCTGATATATTTTATTGAAAAAAAAAACAAAATATACAAGCAGAAAATACAGCGTGAAAAGCTCTACATTTTACATAAGACAGCTGTTCTTACAATTGCACCTTTTGTTTTCAAAATCTACAAAAAGTGAAAAGATGACATAAAAAAACAAACCCGTCATATATCAAAAAGTCTTTTTCGCAGTGTCGAAATTTGGTTGCTTTTGAAAACAAAAAATGTAACTGTAAGAAAAGCTGTCTTATGTAAATTGTAGAGCTTTTCACGCTGCATTTTATGATGTGATTTATGGAAAAAAGTTCTTAGCAATTTTTTTATTTACATCAATAGGAAAAATGCAGAGAACTTTTTTCCATATATTAGTTTTAGTTTACAGTTTTCTTTTTTAACACCTTAATAGTATAATCCCAAGAGTTTTAAAGTCTGCGCTCTGCCTAGTATACGTCGTACGTTGAAGCACCATATGCTATAGTTACAACGCCAATAGATGTCATTCTATTTCGTTAACTCGGTTATTCTTTTTTTATTGGTTAATCCTGTTTGATCTTTTACTTTTGATTTGCTCGCTCTGCTGTTTATTTTTTTCTCACTTGTTCGTCATTTTTTTCGTTGCTGTTAATATTCTTATTGTTACTATATTCTTGTTGTTATGGATCATCTGTCGGATTTAAATAAAACATATTATAACAACTAACTTAATCAACTTTATTCATATATATATATATATGTTATAATGACAAGACACAGTAGGCAATTTTACGTGAGCTTTCTTATATTTGCGTAGGCTAGAATCCATCATTTCATTATTGTTTAACCTATATTATCTATGCAATTCATATAGACTGAATTCTTTGATACACCTTCGTGGAGAGTCGCATAAGTATTTAAACATAAACTCGAGTTCACAGCACAAAACACTGAATGTTAATCTCTTAAGTAAATTTTTGAGCGAACAGAAATGCATAAACATCGGAGATATGTTACCAAATGATCGAATATAATGAAGGAAATTTTTTCATTCGACTTGGAAAGTTAATGTTGTATTTGTTTGTCTTTCCGGATGTAAACCTGACTAAAAATCATAACTTTTTCATTCGTTAATATTCTTAATTTGTAAATGAGAAATTATGTGCTGTGCTAGTCATAAGCAAGAAATGGTTGCTGAACCGTACCATTTAATATGATCGAAGAGAAAAAAATAAAACAGTAAATGAATGACTATGTATGGAGACTAGATCGTAATCTCATTGAAAATGATTGACAAAGATTGAAAGAAATTTTAAAAAATATCATCAAAGACAAGATGAAGGAGAATGCAGAAAGGAAGACGTTGAATCATTACATATAATGCGATTGTTGCTTGGAAATTTATTTGTTTTAAGATTTCTAATGCTTCATCGAGACCAGTACTGATCTATTCAATATTTATATGACGCAGGACTCTAATGCATCGATATTGCTATTAAATATGATATTTTGTTTATAATGTGTTGTATTAAATACTTCACTTACTTTCTATTTACCGTGCTCTCATATCACATTTCTGAAGAGAAAGAGAGAGTAAATACATCCAGGTGTACAGCAGAATTTCTTTTTCTTTTTGATAAAGCACTTTATGAAGTTGCGATAAAAGTCAAAGAATTGTAAGAGAACATCATAGTTGTTATTGTTGGAAAAAGCCGAGTAATATATCAACACAGCATTTATTGAAATATTTCGACTCAAAAGCTTTCCGCGTTTCCAACTATCCGAAATGACCTTGAATCATTATATGCGTCTTTCGTACTTCACATTCTCGTATATATTCTTGTTGATGTTCTCAATTTTTTTCATTCTCAATGGACAAAGATGAATAGTGGTCTCAGTGAGTGCATGAATATGTGAATAAAGACAATTTATTCATAGACGAAAACAGAGTTCTGTGAAATTTTTCATTGTTTTCTTTCATAGTATTACAGAAACAGTTTTACAATGGACTAGCCTTTTTTCTTATCTATTCATCTGTTATACGATAGCATCAGCATAGAAAACGATAAACCTCTACCTAGAAAAGTCTGTAGTTGTTTACCAGTCAAGATAATTCAGCGAGATTTTCTATTGAAATGCTATCGTATCTCCAAAACTACGGATTTGAAATAGAAAAATAGGACTACCAAAGCTTCATTCGGTATCATCATTTTCTGAGCAACTGAGACTATGGCTATAAATTCATCTAATCATGAGAAATATTCCGTGAAAATGGGCTGAGCCATAAATAGAAGTACTTGGTCTAATAGAAATGAGTGATTATGTCACTGAAAGTGACAATAGTTTGTGACTTCATTTTATGCCGTTGATACTGAATTTAGTCTATGTAGATTTTTCTTGTCCAAAATTCTTATTGAAACCATCAACATTCAAGGAGAATAAGACATTCCAGTCACTATCGATCCATTTCAATCACCAGTTAATTCTCGCTCTGTGTCTGACATCTCGTCGGTAAAATATCCAATATGGACAAAAGAAAACAGGTCTTATTTTCTAAACCAATTACAAATTCTGGAACAACAATTGCTTTGAATGCTACTAAGGGCAATTTAGTACCAATCACTTCCAGAAAAGCATTAACGAGCAGAATTAGCTCAACTGACAAAATTGATCAGTTGGTCTCCAAAAGTAAACTCAAACTATCACCAATTTCTCCTAGAAATACAACAGCAATAATCACGATAACTGAAGGCAAAGAAACATTGGCATCCAGATCAAGTATATCCGCTAAAGGTGATAATTCTGTGGCTCGAAACAATGTTAAACAAACGCCCAATATTTTCAAAAATTTAACTTCAAATGCCGCTTTACACGTAACTAAAAAAGCATTAGTGACTGCACCCTCCACATCTATTCATAGACCCACTAATGTGATCGATAATGGAACGACACAGCACATAATGAATACTTTCACAAGTGCAACAAAAACAACTTTCAATGAAGAGTATTCTCCAACATTATTGCAAACTCCTCTTGGTATCAACTTTAGACTCATTTGTTTATACTCGAATGTGATTACGTTTAACAAAGATTACGAACATTCAATTAGTAAACTTCGACAAGTAATTGATAAAATCGATATTTTCACCAGTCGTGAGAAATGTATCGAATTTCTCAAAACAAAAACAGATGAAATACTATTTATCATTGTATCAAATGATTTCGCTCAATCAACAATACCGCTTATTCACGATATGTCTCAAATTCATGCTATCTTTATATTTGGCGAAACCAAACTAAAACATAAAGAATGGATAAAAAGCTGGGAAAAAGTAGAGGATGTTTTTATTTCTATTGATTCAATTTGTGAGATGCTCGAGCAAGATATTCAGCAGTATCATCTCGATTTTCCTACAATTTACGTCACTAATGTGGAATTGATTCGCATTGATCCATCATTCTTATGCACACAGTTGTTAAAAGAAATATTTATTGAAATGAAATTCGATGTTAAATCAAAGAAAGAGTTTATTCAATTCTATCGTCAAAAACAACGCGTTGGTAATACTATAATTGATGAATTGGAACATAACTATGGCATGCATACACCTATTTGGTGGTATACTCGCGATTGTTGTCTTTCTGATATCATCGATCAAGCATTTAGATTACAAAATTTTTATACTATTATCAAAATGAGATTCTTTATACAAGATCTTCATAAACAAATTGAAAAGCTTTATAAAACTCCATCCGAAAAATTGACACTTTATCGAGGTCAAGGATTAACACCTGCACATTTTGAGCAATTGCGAACAATGCAAGGTGGTCTTTTTTCATTCAACAGTTTCTTATCAGCAAATGTCGATGAAAATGTAGCTTTATTTTATGCTGATCATTCTCGGCATGATTCGGATTTAATAGGTATTGTTTTTCAAATAAATATTGACCCTACAACTCGTATTTCTACGAGATATGCTTCGTTGGATAATGAGAATTATCATTCGGACGCAAAACAAGAATTCTTATTCGCGATACATACTATTTTTCGAGTTGGTGAGATGAAACAACTCGACGAGCAACTCTGGAAGATTGAACTGTCATTAACAAGTAATGATGATAAAGATATCAGACACATTAACGAATATATTCGACGAGGAACACAAGGTTCGACTGGATGGGATCGACTCGGTAGATTGCTACTCATAATAGGACACTTCAATAAAGCCGAAGAGGTTTTTCAAATGCTTATTCAGAACTCACCCAAAAACGATCTGAAAGGACTTGGTTATCGTTATCATCAAATGGGACTAGTGAAAAAAAATACAAATTTTTATAAAAAAGCAATCATTTTCTACAATAAGGCTATTAAAATGTACCAAAGTTGTACTCATTCAAACTTTTCAGATTTTTCCACAATTCATAATGATATGGGCTCATTATATCAGTATACAGGAGAATATGCGAAAGCATTAGAGTCCTATGAAATGGCATTGAACATCGAAAAAAAATCTAATCCTGTTAATTGTTCAAATCTAGCTATTATTTATGATAATATTGCTAAAGTAAATAAAACTATGAAACAATATTCAGCAGCGCTACAGTACTATCAAATTATATTGAAAATTCATAAAGCATGTATTCCTTTAAATTATCAAAAATTATCTGCTACCTATAAAAATATCGCCGAAATACATTACTCTATGGACGAATATCCTCAAGCATTGAAAGCATTTCAAAAAATACTCAATATTCAGCAAAATTATCTTTCTCAAAATTATATAGATATGGCTGATATTGAGAGCAACATTAGTCAAGTGTATGAAAGCATGGGAGAACATTCGAAAGCATCCGAGCATTATGAAAGTGCACTCAAGTATTGTCAAATGCTTCTCGAATCTCACAAAGGGGACGTTGCCAATTTGGCTATTATCTATAATAGCATTGCTTCAATATATAAGAATAAGAAAGATTATTTTAAAGCAATCGAATTTTATCGAAAGACAATAGAAATCTTGAAGAAATTTCCCCATGTGACAAGACCAGATTTGGCAGTAACATGCGATAACATTGGTCAAATGTATGAAAGTATACATGATAGCAAAACCGCACTGTTCGCCTATAGACATGCGATGCAAATTGAACAGCAAGCATCACCTCCAAATCCTACTCAACTGCAATTATATCAAAAACATTATCATGATGGTTTAACAAAAGGAAACGATACTTTTACAATGAGTGTACCTGCATCCGCAAAACTTTTCTTCTTTTAACTATTTTTTTTTATTGAGGCTGAGGCATGAATATGAGATTACTAAACCACACCTTGAACATTTTTAGTATTGTCGAAAAAATCACTAGTTTTGGAAAACGATCATTTTCGATAAATATTGACCTTTCGATTATATTATGATCTATATCTCATCTATAGTTGCATTAAGTGTTAGTAACAAAAAAAAATATCATTTATAAAACAGAGCCACTTCTACGTGAGACTCAAAAAGGAAACGAATCGTTTTTCTAGATTTTGTGTATCAAAGGTTGTTTTAATAAAATTCAAAAAATGAAAGAGATATAACGTTTAGTATGTAGAAAAAACTCAGATCTTTTTCTCTAATTTCGGGTGGTGTGGGCTAATGAGCTTTTTTCTGAGATCATTTTTTCTTAATTTGAACTCGGAAAAAATCGAGATCAATTTCAACATTTTTTGGATTAATTAAGCTTCCGAAATCAGTTTCATTATTTTTTCCGAGACAGATTACATTTTTTCCAAACATTGATACTGATTTTAATCTTTTTTCTTCGTATTGCGTATTAATATTTCTATTATTCAATAACATTTTTTATGACATAGTTTGTAATACGTGATACTGTTATCGTTATATATTCCCTAGACTGAAAGGCTAGGGTCTAGAAACCATAATTCACCTGTGTCTGTCTGTCCGTCTGTCTGTCTGTCTGTCTGTCTGTCTGTCTGTGTGTCTGTCTGTCTGTCTGTGTGTCTGTGTGTCTGTCTGTCTGTAACAAGCGCTTGGCACAAATGACCATTTCTATGGCACAAATGACCATTTTTATGGCAGAAATGACCTTTTCTATGGTACAAATGACCATTTCTGTGGCACAAACGACTGTTTTTATGGCAGAAATGACCATTTTTATGGCAGAAATGACCATTTTTATGGCAGAAATGACCATTTCTATGGCAGAAATGACCTTTTCTATGGTACAAATGACTATTTCTATGGTACAAATGACCATTTCTGTGGCACAAACGACCATTTTTATGGCACAAACGACCATTTCTATGGCACAAATGACCATTTCTATGGTACAAATGACCCTTTTTATGGCACAAATGACTATTTCTGTGACACAAACGATCATTTTTATGGCACAAATGACCATTTCTATGGTACAAATGACCATTTCTATGGTAAAAATGGCCATTTCTATGGTACAAATGACGATTTCTGTGGCACAAACGACCATTTTTATGGCAGAAATGACCATTTCTATGGTACAAATGACCATTTTTATGGTACAATGGACCATTTTCATGGTGCAAAGTACCATG